TGTGTGTGTGTGTGTGTGTGTGCGTGCGTGCGTGCGTGCGTGTGTGTGCGTGTGTGTGCTTACGTGCGTGCATATGTACTTGCGGGGTGGTAGCGTGCGTGCGTGCGTGCGTGCGTGCGTGCGTGCGTGCGTGCGTGCGTGCGTGTGTGCGAGCGTGCGCGCGTTCATTCGTGTGAAAGGAAAATGCATCAGGGCGAATACGATGGCTGCTGGAATCTATTCTGGTTCAATCCATTCTTTCGTCGGGAACGGGGTGAGAAAGAGGTGAACTTTACGCACGAGGTTTAAGCACGTGTTTTTCTGCTGCACTAGGGATGGCTTCCCTCTCGCGGCCTGCACTACCATGTCGAAGGTGTACTACGTGACACCGCTACTAGCCAACAACAAAGACAAGCGAGGCCTTGCTCTCGATGGCAAGCTAAAACATGAGGACACAAACCTAGCATCATCCACCATGTAAGTATAGAGCATAATTCCATAAATGCGTGTACGTGCGTAGTTGTGTGCGTGCGTGCGTGCGTGAAGGAGAGAGAGTGTGTATGACAGAAAGGGAGGGGCCGGCCGAGGAAGAGTCGGAGGGAAGCTGGCCGGGTTGGCAACGAAATGGAGTGATTTATAAAAGTTTGTGATGAGAAATAAAATATAATAATGATAAATAATATAATATTTGAAATATTTTGTGTAAGTTATGTAACATCATCTCTACTACTCGTCAGTACAGCCATATTATTTCAGGTAACGCAAACAAAATCCGACATCAACCTATAGAAAGCATGAAAACTACGTAAAGCAAAAGGTCCTCCGTCTTATCATAGGCACTACGTGTACAGTATGCATGCGGAAGTGAGCTTTCAGCACTCAGCACTCAACAGAGCTCTAATGGAAGAGCGAGTCGGAGAAAATTGCCCACAGTCTAGAGTGTTTTGTCGGGGCGAAGATATTTCAGCGTCATTACCCTCATCGGTGAAAGCGTACGCCTAGAACTCGAGACGAATAATGCGTTGAAATACATGTTGCCGGTGATCGTGATCGGTGATGCTAATTTCGTAGGTGTGACATGAGGTCGGTGCTGTCATCTCGCTAGATGGCTTCTATTGTAGCGTTTTCGACAGGTGCATCAACTTTATCTGTTAGGAGTGTGAAAGTGGTCTCATTGTGTATATGTTATTAACTTATTAGTGCGGTCGTAAATGTAACCCCCCCCCCCCGTACACACAACACCGCACGCACGCACGCACGCACGCACACACACACACACACACAAAGAGAGAGAGAGAAGATATACACATGTCAATGACTTTTATTTATGACAGGTTTTTTGCAGTATGCTCGCTACACGCTAATTACGAGAAGATACTTCAGCACTGCATCATTCTCGAGTTCTTGTATCTCATAGTACGATCCCTACAACTTCATTCCAGACTTTCATTCAGTCGTAGTTACCCTCGTACTTACTAACCTTTCTGACAGGGCCAATTTGTCTGGCATGCAGTCTACAATTTGCAAATAGTCTGCAGAAATGAGGGCCTACGTGTTGAGAATAGCTCTTGGAATGTTGGTTTGTTAGGTGACTACGAGAAACACATCTACATATCGATCATCATAGATTCAAATTTTTTTATCTGCGATTTATTATAATCATAATTACAATTGTTGCAATTGTTCGTTATGAAACCTTTTCTAATTATGATGATTTTTGTCTAATTATTTATCCTCATAATTATTTAATGATTGTGGTCTTCCGTTGCAGAATGAATGAGTCATTACAGAAGGAGAACCTCGGGATAATTGTCAAGTACACAGTGAAGGTCAGGCTCATCGTAGCTTATGGCAGGTAAGCTCAGGCTCTATAATGCTCGAAGCATATACCTGAATGTGCTGGTCTCACCATTATCCACCACAATCATGTCTTTTAGCCATTAAAATCTGAAAATGGGTGTGTCGTCCCATGAAAGAAGTCTAGTAATCTATGAATATCTATGGAAAAACAACTGTGAAGATATATTTAAAGGGATAGTAGACTTTAGGATTTTACTGCATACAACTGTACTTACTGTATAACAAATCGTCTATACCCACACGTATTTGTTACCAGATACCTAATTTAATTGTTATAATTAATTACACATCAACGCTACGAAATTTGATAGGCGCCATGACACCCGCGACTGTGCTGCCACCCCGAAAAAGTTGCGTATTTGACCATTTATTTTGCACGTTACAGACCGAGGGCTAATCACAAAAGTGCAATTATATTTATACCTAAATGCTATTTAACCAAACGATATTCATTTTAGGGCAAATTTATCCATATTATAACTGAAACTATATGTCGTTTATAAGATATTACAATCCTTTTGCTTTTAAATTAATAAATAAGAAACACCCTTGGTCTGTAGCCCTTGGCTGAAAAGTGGTTTTGCGCAACTTATCAGATCTTGCGCTTTGAGTGGCGCCACCGTCGTTGTAATCAAACTGTAGTCGTTAGTTTTAAAACATTTTTTAATAATATTTCTAATGGTGATTGAACCATGAAACTTTTTATGTAGCGTAATTTTAACCTAAATTAACTGAAAATAACCCTAGAACCTAGAGTAAACGATCCCTTTAAAGTATTGATTTAATTACATTATTAAATTATTTGACAGAATTGTATTCGCAATCCGAGATATCTATTGTAACCATATGGCTCCCGAAATGTTACCTTTGAATTCTCCAATTCACCAAGCAGCGAAACCATACTTGTCATAGAATATCACTGGTGTGTGCTGAATATACATTTGGTAGGCAAAGGAATTTAGATTGCACATTGCACATAGTAGTATTCAATATTGAATCAACACGTTTTGATAACGCCTCACCCAGTGTTCCCAAAACGATTACAGTTTACAGTAATTAAAACAACTTATGTATGAACGATGTGAACAGACATAAAATGCAGATTAGTACGGTATAGTCATTAGTGATAGTTACTTCCAATATAACTGATAGTTTCTTCAAGTTATTATTCATTGTCTAATGTGATGGATTAGGAAAGCATGAGATTATTAGAGGAGACCATTGACTTGTCTTTCGTCATTATTTAGAGATAGTGCAGAGATTAATTATAATTGTTTGATACTGAATTTTATTGTTCAGTGGTCGTTAGAATTAAAATGTCTGGCATAGAAACTAGGACTACGAGTACTGGTATTATAAAAACTAATGCAAGGAAGGAGAAAAATAATAGTTTGGATGGTATAATCATTAGTATAGCGTTGCAACTGCTGTTGAACTCTACACTAACCATGCAACAACCCCTTCAACAGATTCAAGTTTTTCTCCAGTTGCATGAACTACCTTTCTCTTTTCATGATCTTTCCTCTATCATTCCTCAACTAGCACGTAGCATGGCAGAAACAATGCACACGGATTTTTCCAGTGTGGGAATCGCTTAAATTGACTACGTCACGAGTTTTCTATGGTGTATATTTGTAAAAAAAATTGTTGCAATTTATTTACATGAAAAGTAAGTACTAGCGGGACTAAATGTATCCTCAAATTCTTACCTGATAAGATTGTTTCTCAACTAGTTGAAAATCCAAAAAACCTGGGCAATTTGATATATTGATCACGACATTAAATGCTTGCTATGGGCAATGTATGAGTCACGAGTGTTTGTTGACATCGAACAGAATATCAAAATAGGAAATATAATGCAGCAATTTAACCATAAAAAGTGAACAGAATCACTTACATTTTGTGAAAAAGTGAACATAATCACTTTAATTTACGACCCTTATTGCTGGCAGATGTGTGATTCATTACTGGACAATGAATGACAATTTATGAAAAGCAGAAGCAATAGGAGATACACGGAGAACAATAGGAAGGTGCTCTAGGAAATTCTGGCGATACTGTCGCATGCTCTAAACCACCTGAGCAAACAGCAACATTAGATTACAGGAGAATTTCAAAGTGGATATTGTCATCACATAAACAACGCGTTTTCGTAAACAAGGAATTCGCTTACTTATACGATCGATGTTGCAGTATAACATAAAGTAATGTATAGGACTAGTCGTCCATAATTTTTTTTCCAGATTTCTCAACTAATTTAGGATCGCATTCTTTGTCTGTATATGCGTTGTACGTGGGCGCATAATATTCACTGGTAAACATGTCAACGTAGTAGGCAACAGTGTGATGTGTTTATTGCGTGTGACTCTACGTCAGCAAAATTTCTGGGTGCAACATTAGACGTACGAAGTCACGAGTGTTGTAAATTCAACTACCTTGATATTCTCTGGCCAACGTTCTCTGGTTTCAACCCTTAAAAACAGGCCATATCCCAGTCACGAATATCGTCCAGTAATTATGTGGAAAAGCACCTCGCTAGTATTGTGAAACATCATTACTGCAACACGCTTTCAAGAAGCTAATGCTAGCAAGCAAATTGTACGCTAATGGTGATAAGTAGACGTAGGTGTGCCGGCCTTGCTGAGTCATGATTGCGTCTGTCTGCCCCGACTAGCATAGCCAATGGATATGAGTAGATTTTTGGCGATAACAATCATAGAGTGTTCTCATTAGTGAGGTTAGGAGACAGTCTGTTTCCTCGCACCAAACTCTTCTTCCTTCCTGCCTGTTCTTAATTAAATGCAACTCGATGGAAAACACTACAAGCTTCTTTTGCGAGCCGGATGTCATTTGCTAAATAACGTTACTGTTTGTTATTGGCACGAAGACGAAGATGAGATCGTTGCATTCCTGTTCGCTCATTTGCCGCCTGCAGTAATAAGGAAATTTTGTAAATTTAGTGTTGACTTGAGGGAGGGACATGTAGTGAACATGTCATGCCAGTGTATTTCATTTTTACAAAGAACTAGCGTGAATGAAGTCGGTAACCAGATCTGTTTGTTGAGTGTACTGCTGTGCTAAATTCGACGTTAGTTGTTACGAATTGGGGAGTGTGATTGTTGTTGTTTTTTGTATGGGATGTCACGTGCTCTAACCCTTTGTCTGTCTTTCATGTCACCTTCAGGGGTCCTTGGTTTCCTCACCTTGGTTCCACATGCATGCACATGCGATCGCGTATGTGGGCGTGAGCGCATGCGTGCGTGCCTGCGATTGTGTGTGTTGTCACGGTTAGTCTGTAGTCCAAGGTTATCCACTGTTAACAGCCGAGAAGGTGTGGGGATGCGCGTCAGGGACGAATGATCTCAAAGATTAACGAGATTTTTTTCCTTTTTAAGATTATTTATAACTCTTGGAGATTATTTTCCCCCACGATGAGCATCCGCCTGACTGTAGCTGAGCGCCCCCCTGCAACCCACGATTCGTCTTTTTTGCAGCGACGTGTCTGTGGAGCTGCCGTTCACGCTGACCCACCCAAAACCACCCGAGTCGCCTCCGCCGAGCCGGCCGGTGAGCGCCGCCATGCAGCAGCCCGTCGCCGACGGCAACCAGCCGGCACCCGTCGACACCAACCTCATTCAGCTGGACACCGCGTAAGTACGCGCCCGCCCACGGCGCCACTTGGCGACGGGACCAAGCGCATAGCTAGTGCTCTGCCCGTCGCACGTTCCTTGCTGCGTGCCTCAGTCTCAAAATGCTATAGCAGGCATTCATGTTTGTTTACGTTGTGAGAGGGCGCCACCAGCCATATATCAAATAAGGTTTGTAGTGGGCACCACTGGGCAGTTATTAAACCATGCTGTATAGGTGTTAAACAACAGTAGAGGGCCTCCATAGGCTGCAGGCCTGAATAAGCATCGAACAGAAATTTATTAAAAATACTCACACTGTTACTACACTTACAAAACATACACTTTATTCATGTTAAATAACTACAGATTCATGCTCTATGCTCCGCTCAAAACTTTTGCCAGCTCAGGGTTCTCCCTACGTTGCGCAAACGGGGCGCGCGCGCCCCGTTTGGGAAAACTCCCCCCTGTTTGAAACGTTGCGCCCCGTTTGGGAAAACTCCCCCCTGTTTGAAACGTTGCGCCCCGTTTGAATTACCTCCGCCCCGATTAAATTCCACCACAATAAAAGTTTGCCAGCGCGGGAATCGATCGTCAAGAATTGCCGTTCGACCAGGATATCCGACGAGTGTATTTTTACAGTACCACGCATGCACTGCAGACAGTACACAAGTTAGCCTGAGAACACACAGTTAACATGTGCCGAACCGGTAACAGTTAACCTGTCACTAACTGTACACCGACTTGGCNGAGCTGCTTCACATCTAGGTTTGTGCTAGATGCAATAATGTAACACGCGTGGAGTAGGGTTACTGCAGGTTAGGGTGGCGGCTAGTGCTCTGCTGCGTTACATTAGTCCTGTCTAGATTTGTGCGTGCGCGCATTGTGGACTGACCCGGCAGTCGTTTTCGTAGAGTGTAGAGACGTCTCGTCTAGCTCTGTTTTCACCTCTCTTCGTGCGTGATTAGCGCGTAAACTTCATTTCCCATGTCTGATCCATCGTCACTGAATGTGTGTGTGCGCGTGTGTGCGTGTGCGTGTGTTTTCCTCTCTCCGCAGGAACAACTCGTGTGTGCATGGCGTCTTGCGGGGTGAACCTCGCATGTCAGTGTAATGCGCTCGTCGTACGATCGAGGGTGAGCACGTACTCGAGTATTTCTGTTGCGTAGGGAATGCCAATGCATCAGGGATCCTAGCGCATCACGGATCCTGGCGCATCAAGGGTCCTGGCGCATCACGGATCCTGGCGCATCACGGATCCTAGCGCATCAGAGATCCTGGCGCATCAGAGATCCTGGTGCATCAGAGATCCTGGTGCATCACGGATCCTAGCGCATCAGGGATCTTGGCGCATCTCAGATCCTAGCGCATCACGGATCCTGGCGCATCACGGATCCTGGCGCATCAGGGATCCCGGTGCATCACGGATCCTGGCTTAACAGGGATCCTGGTTCATCACGGATCTTAGCGTAACCGGGAACCTTGTGCATCACAGATCCTAGCGTACCCGGGATCCTGGTGCATCACGGATCCTAGCGTAACCGGGATCCTAGCGCACCCGGGATCCTGGTGCATCATGGATCTTAGCGTAACCGGGATCCTAGTGCATCACGGATCCTAGCATAACCGGGATCCTGGTCCATCACGGATCCTAGCGTAACCGGGATCCTAGTGAATCACAGATCCTAGCGTAACCGGGATCCTGGTGCATCATGGATCTTAGCGTAACTGGGATCCTAGTGCATCACGGATCCTAGCGTACCCAGGATCCTGGTGCCCTCCTGGTGCATCATGGATTCTAGCGTAACTGGGATCCTAGTGCATCACGGATCCTAGCGTAACCGGGATCCTAGTGCATCATGGATCCTAGCGTAACTGGGATCCTAGTGCATCATGGATTCCAGCGTAACCGGGATCCTAGTGCATCATGGATCCTAGCGTAACTGGGATCCTAGTGCATCACGGATCCTAGCGCAACCGCGGATCCTAGAGCATCACGGGATCCTAGCGTAACCGGCGATCCTAGGTGCATCATGGATCCTAGCGTAACCGGAATCCTAGTGCATCATGGATCCTAGCGTAACCGGGATCCTACGTGCATCACGGATTCCTAGCGTAAACTGGGATTTCTCGTGCATCACGGATAAGGTAACATGGATCGGTTGACTGGATTCGGATCGGGGGGTCGACCGTGGCGGCGGTCGTGCAGGGGATGGGGGGGGTCGTGCAGGGATGCGGGGGTCGTGCTGCGAATGCGGGGGTCGTGCAGGGGGTCGTGCAGGGATGCGGGGGGTCGTTGCAGGGATACGGGGCGTCGCTACGTGCAGTGATTGGGGGTCGTGCAGGGATGCAGAGGATCGTGCAGAGATGCACGGGATGACCATGTTATCCCTCGTAGGGTGACCTCTAGTGCACGCCGCGCATTGATATCACGCTGGATGTGCGGATTTGCGCGGAGCTCCGAGAAGCGATGTAAATTAGGTGGGGCGTGAGCGATGACCAGATAAACAGCACGTGGCGAGCATTTTCGTTCTGTCCCGGCATTCGTTGCCGACTTTCGTTCGCGGCAGGCGACCTCGGATTTTGGTTTACTTGGAAGTTGACACGCCGCTCGGGCAGATGCTTGCAGTCTGTCGGGAGAAACTTGACGTCAATGTGTTCGTGTGGTGGTAAGATGACGAACTGACCTGCCGTTGTTGTGCTGTTGTTGCTGCTGTTGTTGTCGTAGTCAGTCCCCTTCACTTTTTGCTTGACAGATGTGTATTGTAATGTGTATCATGTTAAAGAAATTCTATTTATATAAAATATTGAATGAAAATATATTATAGGTGACTGTTGAAATCATGCAGTACTGCACGCGCAGTATCCCTGCTGATGACACGTAGGTGTAGTGAATAAACGTAACTGTGTTTCGTTGTTCAGAGGAGTTTCTATGTAGTGCAAATGTTTATTTTGAAGGAAGGTGGCGGAAGGCATGCGGAGGTGGTAGTATATGTGGCGGGATGTGTGGCAGCAGCATACAGATGCGATTTAGCGATACAGAATCGCGTTTAACCGTTGTCGAGTTGGGCAACGTTGTCCCACGTGTAAGCGAAATCATGTTTGCGAGCTATAGTTAACAGGAGCCTATTCACTTGTATGGTAGCATACAGGTCCCGGACCCTCTCCATGTGAGTGACTAGCGAAGCCTCAACTTGTCGTTACCTTTCCCCTCTTACTGTAAGGTGATTAATCGTGCGCTCGAGCAACTATACTTGTTGACGATCGCGCGCGTATGGGGGCCTAGCGCACTCGGTTGCTCACTTTCACGCGTGCATCGGGTAGTTGCTAGTTCGCACTGCTGGTGGTCTAAATCCACCCGGGCCCGTTCAGTGTCGCATTCACCTGTGGTATAGGGTTTGCGATGGGTCGGTATCTGGATCGCAGTTTGCCAGCGACAGTAGCTGAGCTGGCAGAATTTCTATTCGGCATTGTGGCGGCCGGAGCGAGCGTATTGACACGATTTCCGATTAGCTTCGTGCGAGCACGTGTCTGTGTAGCACGGTTGTTGAATGTGTATTTGCTGTTCGAGCATTCAGATCCAGTAGCTGCTGTTTCAGTCGTAATTCTTATTGTCAGCATTCGCATCGCAGGCAACGAAAAAGCGCGTACTGGCGCGATAGATGCCTGCAGTGTGCGTGTGTGAGTAAGTAGTGTATGTGTGCGTGTGCGTGCGTGCGTGCGTGCGTGCGTGCGTGAACGTCTGGTGCCGCATAGAGTAGCAGCAGAATGACTTCATTTAAATAGAATCGGTTTCCCATGAATAAACGCTGTTTACACTACACTACACTACACTGCACTACACTACACTACACTACACTACACTACAGCATCTAACACTTACACTACCACTCACTGCACTGCACTGCCTGTCATGCACGCAGGCATGCACTGCACTGGCACTGCACTGTCACTGCACTGCACTCAGCTGCACTGGCACTACACTATGCACACACTACAACTGACTTCACTGCACTGCACTGCACTACACTACACTACACTGCACTGCACTGCACTGCACTGCACTGCACTGCACTGCACTGCAATACAATACAATACGCCATGCCACGCAACGCCACCCCAGGCCTCACTACGCTTCACACAACACCGCACATCAGAGTGCACTGCGATCGGCCACATGGAAAGCTACTTCTTTACCAGTCAGTATGCGTCAATATGAAACAACCGCTACAAACAGGTGTATTATACTGGACAAGGTAGCTGTCGCGCGTTGTTCACATATTAGCTATTTTTAAATTCACCCCGTAGATGCCGATTTTGTCCGATGTGAGATTTGTTGTTAGCGGCTATATATTTATACGGATCAAGTCCAGCCACGCACACTTGGTGCCTTTTTGTAGAGTGAATTTTGTAGCGGGCACAAGCGACTGTGGTAAGGTTTTATACGGATTTCGATTTAACTAAAAAATCAAGAGCTTTGATCGCAGTAAAATTGCCTTGCATGAAATCGTTATTTATAGGCTTGTATATCTATGTCGTCTGGCCTTTAGCGTATAAATATTGTATTTATCACCTGTGTTGTGTGGCTGTAATGTGCCTGTGTTCTGATGCCGCGTATTCCACTTACTGGACAACTCATTTTTAGGTACAGTGTAATTAGTGCGTGTGACGTAGTGCTCGCTTAGAAGCTATCTATGACTTCGAAACTGCTTTATAATCTTGCGAAGCATTGTTATTATGACAATATTTCGACTTGACAGCAAGTTCTGATAGTCATTCCAGCTAATATAGGCCACATTACGCAATCGCTGGTGCAGTATAGCGAGAGCAGGACTGTGGAAGTTGACAAGATGCGATAAATGTAGCCCCAGTGCTGCTCCGAATATTACTGGGGTTTTGGTGCCCCCTGGTGGCAGTAGTAGCGCATCGCGGTCACCATCAATTGACAGTAATATATCAGCCGAACAAGTAGAGCCGTTCTCAGTCATCGGGCTGTGATCTCAGATATTGTCGCCGCCAGAGGCGCCACTTCAACGCGGGTTCGAACGTTAAATTTCTATCGCGTGGCATGTGCTGTCTGTCGACGAAATCCCTATTTATGTTAGTTTCCACGCAACGGCGAACGTTCTGACACCCGCATCCGCGTCTATTGTGTAAAGAAAGCGAGATGGTGTGGAAGGCAGCCGTGCAGTCGACAATTTGCAGTACTTTATAGTAGTGTTTTCACTGACCAATGTTATAATGTATTACGTATGTATGTCGGTCGTAAATGGATATGTACAGTTTAGATTACATATACCAGTTAGATATATATGACGGTACCGATGCTATCGTATATATAGCCCATAATCTTCCGCAATTACTGCTCATCGCTTGACGTTTGAGCGAACGCGTAACGTGTAAACACATTCATGACCATAAAATATATTCACTGGGCACCATGTAATGATAATCAAGGTCATAATTTAATTTAGAGATATTGTCGTGTCGTTAGTGTAATTCTGTACAGTTTTTCTGTGAGTCTTGTTTGTCGAGTCGAAATTTGCGCTTATTGGTGATGAAATCTACAATTGCCGCCATATTGTTCGTTTCATTTACGTTCGAATGTGTTTCATATGATGCTGGCCGTTGTATTAGCAGGTAGCTAGTAGAAGGCAGTGCAAAACTGAAGTTTGCTATAAAAAAAAGTCAGTTAAAGGTCTCAGTTCTGGCGTATTGTTGTGTGTGCGTGTGTGTGTGTGTGTGTGTGTGTGTGTGTGTGTGTGTGTGCGTGTGCGCGCGTGCGGTAATTCATGGAATCATGAGTGGCGTACAGTAACGTACGGTGTTATCTGCAGTCTAAACTATGAAGATAGCGTTTCTCCGTAATGCCACATAATATCGGCAATTCACACGCCATCGTTAAATTCGCGAGGCTTTCTCGAAAATCTATATCGTATCAATTTTCAACCTGCTCGTTGAGTGTCTTTTTCCAAGTCGTAGCTGTAAAAAGACGGCGATTTTTTGCTGGGGAAGGGCGAGTGCGGGCCGTGCGTGCTAGCGCCGTTACCTACGTAACTGCCTTTCTTAACCGCATCACGAATCTAAAATATATCGTTGCGGTGGCGTAAGTAGGAACAATAAATAGTATAGATAGGGACGGCACGTACGCGATTGCGGTCGCATAAAGATGTAAAGATCTGCCCCCCGGGGTCGGTTTAAGCAGACGCGTATGTTTCTACACAGACATCCTATTATATATATATATATAATATATTATATAAGAGATATATAGATATAGATATATATATGCGCACATCTTGCGTGAACCGCGCGTGTGATGAGTCGTGGCTGCGATGTGATCACCAGTAGAGGGCGTCATCGTGGCTATGCATTAAGGACAAGAGAGATTATTAGTTGTGGCAAGCGGACCCAGTATCTCGCGCGTGTCATAGGTCTGTCGTCCGTTAAGTCAGTATGTCTGCTATTCTGTCTGTCAGTTTAATCGATTAGATACCGTCTGACTAATCTATCTATCTACATAGCGTACCTATACACACGAAATCTTGCTGGCCCCTACCTCCATCGAGTTATATTAACTGCATTTGCATAATCAGAGGACAACGCTTATATTTTGGCATTTGTACAGTCCGTCTATGCGATCGCGTAATCGAACTACCATAGTGCGTGCATGGGCGTGGGCGGGGTGTTGCGTAAGGGAGGCAGTAGTAGAAAGACGCGAGGCGAGGAAGAGGGGAGACAACCCTGAATGCGTGCATGGTTCACTCTCTGTTAGGCTGTTCTAGCGGGTTGGCGTTCGGCTGTGCGTATATGTAGTGAGGGCACTGTGTGACCAAACAGAGGGCCTAACTAGTACCTCCATTGTGCGAATACTAAGGTGAGCTTTAAGTGTGGAGCTTGTCGGTATCGGTGAATGAGTGTTGTTTGTTATGAAAGTATTATGAATGTGCTACGGCATCATTTATCTCAATAAATGTACCTTATAGTGGGCCTTTTAAGCATAGGTGTTCGTCTATATGTGATGGGTTTGAAGTTTTTCTCACACTCTTCCAGCGCGCGCGGTCACCGTACACTGTTGATCATGAGCGATATTGCATAGAAGTAACTTTATTAATTTTATATATCCGTATAATGTATTCGAGAATCGGAAATTTATATACCAGTATAATGTAAGCATAACAGTTTTGAAGAGTGCATATAGCGAGTGGGAAGTATCTATAGACCAATAATAAACGGGTACTTGATATAACAACAATGTGTAATTGATAATACTAGCCTTTCCTTTTCTCTAGCACAAAGAAAGATTTGTAATGGATAGACGTACGTCTATGCCGTTCTATTAGTGCTATACTTCTGCCGTATTTTTGTACCATGGAAAAGAGCTGCCCACTAGTAGGCCCCTACTCGCGAATGTTGGATATATGAGTAATGCTCGCTAGCTGGCGCTAGCGTCGCATTAACGGCGATGATGGTGCACTACTGTGAAGCCCCCATGTCCTCGATGGCGCCTCGGTCCTACGTCGTGGTGATGATGTCGGCCGGCACCCATCAGTGCAGCACCGGCAACCATTCCTGCAGCCACCGCTGCTCCGCTCTGCAGACGTAAAAAACAGGAATTATTCTTAAAGAGTGAGGAATGGATTCGCGCGGATTCGCCTAGGCAGTGCAGCGCCACCAAACTGGGGGCTGCAACCTCGTCGTCGGCTCAGACTGGTTTCCTGTCTCTTCACCTCGGCAGAGAATCTTAATAACGTTGTCATTTCGAGTCTTTGACTTCGTTAATCGATTTCTCTTTAATTAACGTAGTGAAGAGACAGGAAACAAGCTAGTCTAATTGACAGCTATAAACGTTCTGTCTGTGTGTGTATGCGCGTGCGTGTGCATGCGCGCGTGTGTGCGTGCGCGCGTGCGTGCGTGTGCGTGCGCGCGTGTGTACGTGCGTACGTGAGTGCGTGTGTGTATCAAGAGTACACTATGAAAAACTGTTCCTTTTTATGTACCACTAATTAAAGTTTCATTCGCAGAGAAGGCATTTGGCCTAATAACTTCTCATCTACTCTCCAAAATAGTTCTGTACCTTTTGTGCTGGTGCTCGTTCTTGTTCTGCTGGCTCCATGGTGCATACCGTATGTGACACGTATGTTTCAGGTGGCGGCTCGTTAGTCTGGGCTGGTGGATAGTAGTAACATGACAGGCGGATATCAGATAGATATTGATCAGGAGTAGATAATAGGGAATTTCCTATTATCTACTCCTGATATTGATGTATCGAAAGCAACGATAATCACAACCCCCACTTTACGTTTTTCGGTTACAGGTGGAAATTTTCATCGCGTGCTCATATTCGGAAGGTGTTACGCCTTCGTATATTCGTTCGTTCATTATAGCCAAGTGCCGATGCAAGAAAACATTCCCTGCGAAATAATAAGCTTGGGCAATATTTGTTAATTTTCAATCATATGTTGTTTGCATCCTGTTCGTTATCGTTGAAACGCATGTGTTGTTGATTAGCACGGACGGTTGCTGAGGGATGAGTGAGTTTCTCTAAAACCTACCTGGATATGGTTGAGGCGGGGGAGCGTAACCAGCGACCGGTGCTCCAGGGTAACCTGGTGCTGGTGCTCCAGGATAGCCTGGTACTGGTGCTCCAGGGTAGCCTGGTGCTGGTGCTCCAGGGTAGCCTGGTGCTGGTGCTCCAGGGTAGCCTGGAGCTGGTGCTCCAGGGTAGGGGTCTGGGAAAATAACTTCATTTGTAAGTTTTGGATTTATTGGATTAAAGACAATATTGGATTTATCGGTAACTAAAATTTATTATTTTAATATTCAAATTTTTTTATTTTTTCACCAACGTTTTTAATTAAGGATGCATTCAGGCTTACGGACAGGTACCTCTGTCAAGGGCATTACAACATAACTGTTCACCAAATTCAAGCAAACACATCTATTTAATAAAAGAGATGTCTCTCTACGCTCACGATGAAAATAATTGTAAAAAAAACTCATCGCTAATTACGTGACGGCAAAAATTGTTAATTTATACCAAAAAATGTTTTTTTCTTATTTCTCAGAAACAGCAGAGTTGGGACCTAAACTTTTAGCCATAATTAAGTTGTTCATAGTATGAACTAAAAAACGTTCCCTGGAATTAAAAAAAAATGTTATGGCTCTTTATTTACGATATTGTTGTATCTTACAAAAAAATTCAGTGCATCTTCTCAACTGATTTCCTAAAATAAAACATTAAACAAATTCCAGGGACCGGTTTTTAGGTCATAGGCCTACTATGAAGAACTTCACTGTAACCCTGACTGTATCCTTAATTGAAAGAAACGTTTTTTAACGTAACCTGTGTGAGGTGTATGCACATACGCGCACGCACGCACGCACGCACGCACGCACACACACACAAACACACAAACACACACACACACACACACACACACACACACACACACAAACAGCCAACACACGCACGCACACGCACACACCACCGGACCACCGATGGAGTAGCACACACACACAACACACACAACACACACACACACACACCACACACACACACACACAAAAGCACAACATCACACACATAGCAGAGAGAGAGAGAGAGAGAGAGAGAGAGAGAGGCGGGGAGCATACAAACACGCGTGCGCGCACGTGGGATAATATTCATCTATATTTAATTACTAGTACCACATGGAATACTCACACCGCGATGTTCCACCCATCTTCTATCCTATGCACAGTTCTGCAATATTATGGAAAACAACAGTCATTGAACATCATTATGAAAAGTTTACAAGAACTGTGTGAAATACAGAGAGAGGAGGTTGAAAGGAGAGCGAAGGACAGTGAAAGATCTAGACTGAGAGCAAGACGAAGGCAGTGAGGGAGAGAAGCAGGCAGACAGAAAAAGAGAGAGGGAGAGACAGGGACGGAGAGAGAGAGAGAGAGAGAGAGAGAGAGAGAGAGAGAGAGAGAGAGAGAAGAGAAGAGAGAGAAAGAGGAGAAGAGAGAGAGAGAGAGAGAGAGAGAGAGAGAGAGAGAGAGAGAGAGAGATTGAGAGATTGAGAGGAGAGTTCGCACAATATAGATAGATAGATAGAATAGATAGATAGATAGATAGATAGATAGATAGATAGGACCAGACAGACAGCAGAACAGACAGGACAGACAGGCAGACATGATAGATAGTGAAAGAGAGAGGGTGGAAACCGCGAACGGAGCGAGAGCGGAGAAAGTGAGAAATTGAACAGCCCGGGAAGATTGGAGGGAGAGCGAGCAAGGGAGAGAAGGGGAGAAAGGGGGATGCAGTGAACACGCGGCACGCAGGAATATATCACAAGCTTTCCGCACATTTTCGCACGATAATAAAACGGACAGTTTAGAAGGTAATATAACAGTTAAGCCTTCGCAAATTGTCACCTTTGCACCTATTCGTCTCTAAAAAGGCCTTTTTGCTCTTTTTTTTCGGCCGAAAATTTCGGCATAGAGTGCAATAATTTGCATTATGCACACAAGTAGATGCACTCGTGGAATGTCCTAAGAAAAGCATTAGAAAGTAAAATTGGTCTGTTTGTGTGGTTCGTGACATTACGTCAGGTGGCGTAGCCACAGCGCTCGTTGTCATTTGTCTTTGAAATTCAGACAACTTGCAGAAGAATCGCAATCAATAAGAGCTGCAAAGGTTTCGAGCGGAGCAATAGAGCACGAAATCTGTAGTTATTTAACGCATGAATAAAAGATGTATTGTGTAAGCGCAGTAACAGTGTGATAATTTTTAATTAATTTCTGTTCGGATGCTTATTCAGCGCCTGCCGACCTATGATCGCCCTCTACTGTTGTTCAACACTATTAGGTAATCGTAAGTTTGGACCAGACTAAAAATGCGGGGAGCTGTGTAACCTGACCAGCAGACCAAATCGGGTTTCCCAGCCGCATTTGCGTCCAAGGATCGCAAACACAGCCAAGCACCTGTGTGCGTGCCCATCAGATGTTTTTATAATACCAGGCGTGAACTCGTGGCGTCGCCGTGAACAGAAAAATGGAGACTAAATCCTATACTTTGCCTCTTTAATTTAATATTCATGTTTCATCGTGTGCATTCAACAATAACTACACATTTAAAAATCTTGTCTTGTATAACCGCGCATTTAAAGACAATCTGTTCAACCCACACGTAGAAATGGCCACCGAAATGTTATTTAACGGATTTATAACTACAAAAAACGCTTACAATTAAATAAATTAATTCTGCGCAATTGAAATAATTCCAAATATATAATATAAGCTACTAATTAACGTCGTTTTCATGTATCACGTTTTCTCTCGTTATTGACGTCGTTGAGAAAAATTCAGCTGTACACTGAGCGTCGGATATATTATATAAGTAAACTAATCTATGTATTTGTAATGCCAGCAGCGGTGGTAAGCGGGATACGTGACGTCTAAGCACGTCACATCCTAGACAATCTACATTATGAGTGGTTGACGGCGGCGCGCAAACGACAATAGACGGGCGCGTCCTCACCGTACCGCCTTGTGCTAGGATAGGACGCACCATGCGAACGGGCATCGCTTGCTTCCCAGCAAGGTCTGGTTTTTGACAGACGAGTTTAATGCTAGAGCCGGTTTGAGCCCATATATATAAGCAGCAGTTGACAAGCAAAAGAGACCAAAATAAAAGATTTAGAGAGACACTATGTAGTCATCAGAGCCTAGGCATGGTTGCCTATAGGCTAGTATGTATATATAGTGATATTTTGTAGGTGAGTTATAATCAATAGACTAGTGAAACAAGAATCTGCGACTAACGGCTCTACCTCTGTGCTATCTACGCTGCTGCTGCTAAGCACTCTAACCATTTGCTGAAACGATATCAACACTGGCTACCT